TTCATGGGACTCCTGCCATCCAGTAGTCATTTCTGGTATGGGTCCGTTCTGTGTTTATTTCTCCGGTTCCTGAGGGCAGTATTGGTTAGATGGCCTCAGCAACTGGTACAGTCCCCACTGGGCCTCTAGTCCACAGAGTAAAGGTTGTTATGGTAGACAGTTCTTGGCAGCCTCCCTCACCAATGACAAAAAAGCCACAGGCAATATCAAGCACGTGTGGGAAGGTCAGAGATGTCGGCTGTGTGAGTGAGCAGACGCAGTGACGCTGACTCCTGTCTTAGTCTCACTTAACACTCCAGCTTGACCAGCGTGACAAGGGGATGGACGTGGGGTGAGAGCAGTGGATGAAGACCCTCTCATAATTGCAGTTGCTTTTCCGGATGTGAACATCATAGTGGAGGAACTCAAAACTCCTCCAGTCATCTGGAACACAGCTAAAGATAAGGAGATTTTTTATCTTAATCCCAAATAACAGAAAACATCAGAGAAGGATTTTTTGACCATGAAGCACATTTTCTATGTCTTGCCTTGAGGGCTTTGATGCTCTGGCTCTCTCCCACACTATTCCCATTCAGCACCCTACAGGACACCATCTGAGTCACTGCAGGGATGACATCATGCCGACAGGACACAGGACTGGGAGGTGTAGCATCTGTGTATTTTGGTAGGGCACATAGATGTGGAAGGCTGGGAGATGATCACATCCTTCCAAAATTACCAAGGCCTCCTTGGTGGAATTGCTGGCGTGCAGTGTTCTGGGACATCTGGGGCACCTGTTTCCAGCGTGAAGGAAATGCTGCTGTGCAGCGCGTTCTCTGCTGCCTAGAAAGGTACACAGTGCGTGGTGGGCCTCCCTGGATTTCGGAACAAACCTGTAACAGGTTTGAATGGGCTGCCCGGAGTGACCTGAAAGGCTGCCAGTTTTGCATGGGCCCAAAGCATGAGAAGGCAGTGGAGCTTGTGCTGCCCTTTGCCTGCAAGGAGAGAGGGCCTGGGTAAAGGTCTGTGCTGGTTTGTGGGCAGTGGCTAAGTGTCAGGACTAGAAAGGCTGGGTGTCCAGGAAGAAGCGTCATCAACAGGTGGGCAGCTGAGAGAATGCCACAGCGGGGAAGAGTGTGTTGTCACTGATGTTGTTTAGAACACCCAGGCCATGGTGATAATAAAAGCAGACTTTAGCTTTATTATCATTTTAAAATTCTCTACTGAGAATGTGTCCTCTTGTCATTCCCAACACCCCACCCGTGGTATATCCCTGTGGGTGAGTTTGTGCAAGATAATGTGAATGGTCCCACACTCTGAGAACAGTTTGGGTTTGGCTCACCCAAAAGAGAAAGTCTCTGGTGTGCCCCACTGGGAAGAGCCTGTGCAGACCCTGGCAGGCCAGGAGCCAAGGCAGCCGCACCGTGCCCAGCGAGCCAGCGCCCCCGCCAGGCTCTCAGCAGGCGGCAGGGGGCGCCGTCCGTCTGGGCTGTCACCTGTGCTCCACTCCACAGCCCACCTTTGGCTCACAGAAGCTGAGGCAGAATTGTGACAAGATTAGAGGACGAGAAAGGACTTTAACCAGAGGTCTGGGTGGTGCGGTAATTGTTGAGACATTGGCCTTTCTTCTGGGCCAGTCGGGGTGAGAGTGTCTTCACCTGAATATGGTAGCTTGTATGTTATTGTATTTTGTTTTATTTCATTTGATTTTGGGTTGACAGATGTGAAAGGGAGTATTGGAAGAATATACGTGGGTGCTGGGCAGGGGCAGTTACCATAGGGCACATTTCAGGGCTCCCTAGTAGAAATGTCCGTCCTGTGCTGGGTCCTCCCCGACTTGGTGAGCAGCAGCCAGTGGGCCAGCTTCTCCACCCGGGCCTTGGCCGTCCCCCGGGGCTGGAATCTCAGGGAGCGGTGAGAAGATGGGGGCAGCGGTGCTGTTCATTTGTGGTGGCGGCTGTTGGGTCTGTGTGTCCACTGTCCCCTGTGGTGTAGCTGTGACTGCCTGGCCCTCCTTCCTCCCTGCCACTTTCTAAGCCTTGTCCTCCAACCTGTCCACATTCTGCGAGCTGCCATGTCTCTTTTAAAAAATATTTCTCTCTTCCTGATCAAGCCAGTTAGTTGTCTTCTGAGATTTGCACAAAAGAACCTTGCCTAATGCATGCTCCAACACAATAATATGTATTTTTCTATCTTCAGAGTGATCTTTTAGAAATTAATTTCTCTTATGAAGAAAATTTTGTTTGACCTACAGCAATTCCTTAAATTTAAGGAATTGTTTCATTTTCCACAATTTGATTTAAATATTGCATGCATAATAATATATTGATTCTTGTAAATTTTTTTCTGTTCTTTTATCTGTGTTTATGGACACACAGATTGTTGTTAGCTGAGTGCTGCCTAGTGTTGTTTTTGGCTGATGGGAGTCGGGATGATAGGTTATGTTCTTTTTTGTGATTTTCTCTGTATCACCTGTATTTCCTAAAAATAACAATCATCTATCACTTGGAAAAAATTATGTTTTAAAAGCATATTCTCAAAAATGTAATGTGAAAAAAGTAGATTACAAAACTGCATATTATGATATTGTACAATTATATAAAGAAAAAAGATTGGGAGGACATGTATTTAAATATTTCTAGTTATTTCTGAGAATTGAGATAATAGGTGATTTTTCCCACAGATTTTTTTATATTCTAAGTTTTAAAAATTAATATAGGAATGAATTACACATCTTGAGGCTTCTGTCTTAGAAAAGGGCCTTCCCCATTTCAAAAAAGGACTACCTGATAACTTCTTCCAGGGCAGGTGGAGAACAGCCACTGTGGCGGCAAAGGCGGTCTTTGGCAAAATTCACATTTTCGCATTTTCTAAATATAAATCATCTATTAGATCTTGCAACACTACTGCTTTTTTTCATATGGGGACTCAGGGATTTCCTATATTCAGAATTAAATTAAAACAATCTATTCCATCTCATCAGATGTTTTGCTGTTATGTCTGGTCTCAGTAAAATTGCAGGAAGTATAGAAGTTTATGCTGAATGCCAACACATTTTAAACACTGCAGTAAAATAGGCTCTAATTTACCCCAAGGGTAGGCTTTTTTTTTATTCAGCCAGGTAAGTTTTTAGACTTGTAGACTAATGCAAAGTCAATAATTTTTCAATAATTTTACCACTGGCTACATTAATATGATTTTAAGCATATTTTAATGTGTGGCTGGTAGGATACTCTTCCAGTCCACACACTTGGGGCTTTAGCAGTTGCACATCTAATTCTATAACGATTTACCTTCTGGACAGAGCCTCATCGTCACCCCCAAGGTGAGACTTGCTAATGACAAATTATTTATGACATTGAATACCATTGTTTATGGTACTCAAAATTCATAGTTTTGAGAGTTAAAAGTCTTTTCTTCCAAACTATTATTTCTGCTGGGACCTTCAAAGTCCATTTTCAAACTCAGTGCTGCTAACTCTGCAGTCTGCACTGGGCCCCTTCTCCAGGGCAGGAAGTGAGGCCGTGTCAGCTAGAAAAAAAGGAATGAATAGAACTGAAAACTATAGTGGCCAATGTCAAATTGGACAAAGCATTCTTTAAAGTTTGTCAATTGCAACGACATTCTCTTCATAATTTCAGTAATAGCCAAAGACTCAAGGTACCAGAAGTGAAACAACTGGGCATACTATAGGAAATATAAATGGAAGGTTCTTTGGTTGATTATCAAAGCAGGAATTATTGTAACGTTTATGGATATTTAATTTTATTTGATGCACTTGAATACAATCCAACTAGTGAAAGTTTGAAAAGTTAATTTTACCAAGATCGTTAGCAGCAGATTCAGCAACAAAAGTCATTGAGATTTAGAGAAATATTTGAAATATAGAAAGGTACTATATATGTATTAACCAGCTTTGTAAATATAAAACATTCCAAATAATCAAATTTTAATATTTATTTAAAAAAATAAAAGAATATTTCATGTCATTGATCAGTGTAAACATATGTGTGAATTAGCTGTAATTTTACCTTGAGGCTAGTTTTCTTTTAGATTTTATGTCCCATGAAACATCAGAACACTGACACACACACACCTGTGTACAGACAAGCACACACATATACACACACTTGTAAACATGCATGCAATTTCACATTCATGTGCACACACGGACATATATGGACAGGACAGTATGAATGTGATATATCATTTCAGTAACTCTTCTATCGAGACAATACCAACTATTGTGCCAATCCAGGGATACATAAGCTCTTTCCTAAAGGCAAAAATTTAACCATTACTATTTTTAGTTTTTTGTCTGTGTTCTTTCCAAAATTCTGAATAATAAATAATATACTTACTGAGGTTCTTTATCAACCTTGATTCCTTTTCCAGTGACTTTACATTATGAAAGATAAAGGGTTAGCAGAAAATACTCCTTTTCCTCTTCCTCCTAATTTGTTGTACTTATATTATTATAATCAGTGTTCCTAAAGGTTAACCACTTAGCTTTAAACGGTATTCTTGAACTTGTTCTGTCAACTTTAGACTGCAGTAATTGCAATACAACAATGCTAATGAGAGTCTTGGCACCCTCTCCCTCTTTCCCCCACACCTTCTGTATCCTACATTCTTCTAGCTACACATGTATTTATTTATTTTGTTTAGTGTTAGATACTGTTTTCCATTTTTAACAGCTGGTATCCTTTACATATCATAAAATTCACCCACTGTGTACAATTCAATGATTCAGTAAATCTATGGAGTTGTGTAACCATCACTGCAATCCATTCTAGAACATTACCATCACCCAGTATATTTATTGCCAAAGTATCATTTAATCCAATCTTCTAACCATATTTGAGTTCTCTGGGTTTTATCTGTAAGTTGATTCCATACATAGCGTAACACCATAGTCCTATTAATACATTCCCCTAGAACGTGTCCAGAAGAAAACTAAAGGCAGAGAATTAATCAGAGAGCATTCTTTTTAAATTACTGATCAATAGGAGAAATTATACCTCGTCAGCGGCAGCCTGTTACCCCCTAACGATGGCTGTGTGATGATTCATGGGGTCCTACTGTTGGCGTCGGGAAGAGGCGTTTGGCTAAATCCCAGGATGGACGCGCAAGGCGCAGCACGCAGCCTCCAGGGCCGCGCGCGCCTCGGAGATGGAGCTGAGGGTCGGTCCTTCGCTCCTGCCCTGCCTGCCCGCTCTCGCTCCTGACGCCGCCAGTCGCTGTTTCATCCCGGGTCGCGTGGCGTCAAAGCAGACGTCTGTCCGCTCGGCGCCGACGTGGATTCGTGTTTGCGAGCGGGCACGCCGGTGCCCTGCCTCCTCGCAGCGCGTCCGCGCTCACGCGTGGAACCTCCGAGAAGCCTCCGCCTCCACCCAGAGTGCCGCGCGCCCGGAACAGAACGCGGCGTCTGCGTCTCTGCGCAAACGCTGGGCGCGCAGGAGGCGCCGCGGGGGTGCGGTGCGCGGGCGGGCGTGCCGGGGCGCCAGGGTGCCGGTGCACGGGCGGGGTGCCGGGGCTCAGGGGTGCGGTGCGCGGGCGGGGTGCAGTGCGCGGGCGGGGGTGCCGGGGCGCCAGGGTGCCGGTGCACGGGCGGGGTGCCGGGGCGCAGGGGTGCGGTGCGCGGGCGGGCGTGCCGGGGCGCCAGGGTGCCCGTGCACGGGCGGGGTGCCGGGGCGCAGGGGTGCGGTGCGCGGGCAGGGGTGCGGTGCGCGGCCGGGGTGCTGGTGCGCAGTGGCGGGACTGGTGCGCGTTGCAGCTGGCGCGTGTGGAGCCTAGAGAAGGCCCTTCCAGTTTCTGCCTCAGAATTTCCAGCCCTGCAGCTCTTCCGGGACCCTGTGGCCTCACGGTCGGTCCCGGCAAGCCCAGTGGGCCTCCCTCGGCTCTCCTCTCACTCCCTTGTCCTCCTGGCCACCGTGGGCACTTCCACACCAGCACCCCTTCGTTCCCCCTGCCAGGCGGGCCTCGCCTCTCACTCCCCTGTGCTAAGACCGGCCCAAGTCCCTTTCTGCCATCCCTGCAGTCTGGGCAGAAGTAGCCCTGCTCTCGGAGCCCTGCCCTCCTGCCCGCCCCCGCTTCCCTTTCTGGAGCTTCCAGGAAGGAGCCTGTGGTGGGCTCCTGTGCCTCCCACCTGGCTATCCACGTCTTCTGCCTCCCAGCTCCGCCTCAGGCCCCACCAGGCCATTGAAACTGCTCTCGCCAAGTCTCCAAAGATCTCCACCTGGCGAAACTCAACAGCCGGCCAAGCCTGCCTGGGGCCTGACTCTGGGCACTACCTCCGCCCAGCTCCTTCTCGTCTTGCTTTCCAGGGTCCCTGCACCACCTTTGCTGGTACAGCCTCATGGCCAGACCCCAGCCTCAATCCCAGGATCTAGCCCTGCAGATGCGCTCCTGCGCGGGGTCCTGTGTCAGTTCCTGGCACCTCCATCCCAGCAGTGCAGGAAACCTGTAGTCACCTCCCAGGACTCTCCTTCCCTCACTCCCACCTACCAGCAGCTTCCTCTCTCAACACGGAGCTAGACTACAGCTCTCTCTCATCACCTCTGCTGCTACCTGCCAGTTCTGGCTGCCTCTTGGGTCTGGCTGCTTCCCCTGGAGGGCCAGGAATCCTTGTAAACGTGAATGGTGCTGCTCTCCTCACCTCCTCCCAGCAGCGTCCATCTAGGGAAAGGCCAACATCTGGAAGCAGCCTGCAAGGCCTCTCTGGCGAGGCCAGCCCACGACCTTTCTGACCTATCTCTGCCTGCCACCTACTCCCACCTTCCACCTGGTGCTCAGGCCACCTGGCCTCCCTGCCAACCCTCCAACCTGCTGCAGGCTTCCCCTCGGGGCCTTTGCACTAATTGGAACCTGCCTCAGTCAGCTCTGGCTGCCATAACAGAATATCATAGACTGGGTGGCTTCAACAACAGAAATGTGTTTCTCAGTTCTGGAGGCTGGAAGCCCAAGTTCAAGGAGCGAGTAGATTGTGTGGCTGGTGAGGCCTCTCCCCTTGGCTTGCAGACAGTTACCTTCCCGATGTGTCCTCACACGGCAGAGAGAGATCTCTGGTGTTTCTTCCTCTTTCTATGTCAGATGATAGCACCACTCCCTTATGGCTTCACTTAACCTTTATTACCTCCCTATAGGTGCCATCTCCACATACAGTCACATGAGGGGTTAAAGCATCCACATAAGAATTTTGGGGGTGCACACAGTTCAGTCCATAACAGACGCTCTGCCCAGATGGCTCTGCCCTGAGTATCCACAAGGCTGAGCCTTCGCCCCTTGGACTGGGCTGTGTGTCGCTGGAGGCCTCTTTACTAGAGCCACCTGGATTGAGTTGGGGAAATACCTATCACTGAAGAAAAATTAGGCTGCTGTTGTCACAGGAATAGTCAGTGGGTGATGGGTGGTAGAAAACAGAACCACCACCAACAGAACTGAAAGCCCAGATGTCACACGTACAGTCGCCATTTGCGGCAGCAAGCGAACATTGATGCGTCTCCGCCATGCCCAGCCTCCAAGGGTGCTGCATTCCCAAGCGAGTTGCCACACCCAAGCACAGCAGTTACAAACTATGGAAGCGCCGCGATGAGGAAAAGGCGGAATAAGGTTCAGGAGTTCGAGAAAGATTTCTTGGGGAAATGTGTGCTGGGAGCCCTGCCCCGCCTCGTCCAGGGCTTGGGCAGGCGGCGCTGGCGTCCTCGCCTCCGCCCAGTCAGTGGCTCAGCCGAACCTCGAACCTCGGGAGTTGGCGGCTCAGTGGCCTGGGGCGTAACTCCTGCGCTGGAAACGCTGGGCGACGGGCTGGCGACCTGCTGCTGGGGCGTTTCTAGGCACCGGCAGGGGCCAGGTTGCTTCCGGGCTGGGGTGAGTGAGGTCTCCCCCTGCCCTCGCTCGTCCCCCCGCGCGCTGCAGAGCGGAGGACCACGGAGCGCCACTCGGGGCGAGCAGAGAACGAGCCGGGAAAGAGAGAGGGCTGCGCATGGCCCCCGGAAACCATTGTTCTGGAGAATAATTTGTGTACAACGAACTGCACCTATTTTATTTTATTAAAGCACAAGAGGGAAAGACCTATTTTAAGTGTGCGTTTGCTAAGTTTTGACAAATATGCACACTCATGTAATCACCACCTCAGTGGAGATTCAGAATATTTTCATCACCCCAGGAAGCTACCTGGTCCTCCGCTGGCATACCGAACCCCGAAGGTGCACGCTGTTACATGAACAATGCCAGTGCCTGCCTCTGATTTCAGTGCGCTCACTTCATTTCACTCCGAAGGGTGAAAAGGGCTTGGGGTTGGGAAGAGCAGCTTTCAACGAGACCTCGGTTCTCCAGCCTATTTTCCTCCCGTGAGCCTCTGTGGACAGTCCTGGGACTTACGTGCTCTCTGCAGGAAGGGGCCACGTCTGGGTTATTTAGCACAGGGTTCCACAGCCGGTCTGGTTGTGAGCTTGGTGCTTAAGGTTCACACTATGATAGAGACAAAATACCTGGAGAGGCAGAGGAGGAAGTGATGTCAGAATTGTCAGGGAGAGGCTGGGGTTGGTTTGTAAAGGAATATGCCACACTTTAGAAAGTGACCCTAGAAAAATCTCAGCTTGGTAGAAAAGTGTGAGAAAAACATTGTAGGCTCACTGTTTTACCTGAGAGCCAAGTTTATCTCCACAGTGGAGACTAATGACCTAGTTACTTAATTCACTACCCAAGAAACAATTATGGTGAATCTGCTTTGTGCTGGGCACTGTTTTAAACATTGGTGATGGAGTGGTAAGCAGCTACACCTGGTGCCTGTCTCTGCAGAGCTTGGCCTGGTGAGGCTAATGATAGTAATAAAATATCTATGCAGATCCGTACGTCCCCATCAGCCCCCCACCTGTAGTGGCTTAAAACCACACCCATTTCATTACCGCACATGTCACGTTAATGTGTGTCATCTGGGCTGGCATTCCAGGCGGGGCCAGCTTGGGTGGTCTCTGCGCCAGTCTCTCCTCTGTCCCCGGTGGGGGAGCTGGAACAGGCTTCGGCTGGCGACCGAGGATGGCCTCACGCATGTCTCCTGCGTAGCAGACCTTCCACCAGGGGCCTTAGCTCTTCTGCACGTGGTCTCCCAGCATCCAGCAAGCAGGCTGATTTGGACTTGGTGGTCTTGCGGTTCCAGTCACAGCAAGGGCTCCAAGGCACAAGCACATTTCAGAACTTTTCTCAAATTATGTTTGTTCATGACCCATTGAGCAAAGCCATCTCCCAGGCATAGACCCCACCTCTTGACGAGATGAGCTACAAGGTCATGTCACAGGCAGCTCTTACTCTGGGGCATAGAGAAGCCTCCCATGTGAATAAGTAGGAGGTCTGGGTGAAAGCAAGTGGGGCCTGCAAGGAAGAGCATTCGAGGCAGAGGGGCAGTATGTGCAAAGGCCCTGAGGAAGTAGAGAGTATGTTGTACTCAGGAAGATAACGAAACTCAGGGTTGGGGAACTAGATATGTTATAGGGGCCTAAACCACTGGGGTCTAGACTAAGCTAAGGACTCTGCATCTTGACTTGGCTGGTGATAAGCAGATTTGGGTTTGTGCAATCACCTTGCTTGGAGGGCAGAAAACAGATTGTGGCTGAGCAGTGCATAAGAGCATGTGCAGGGTGAGTAGTGAGAAGGCTATCAAGGTGTCCAGGTGATAGAGGATGGTTTGGAGCAGGGCGGTGATGGAGAAGGAAAGAACTAGGCCCATAGATGTTTAGGAGGTCAAATCAAGGGCATGTATGAGACATGTGGCAGTTTTATTAAAAGGTCACAAATTCTCTGCAGCCCCTCCTATCAACTGGTGGGGTCTATGTTCCACCCTTTTAATCTGGGCAGGACTGTAGCTGCTCTGACCAACAGAGTATGGCAGGGGTGACCCTATGTGACTTCTGATCGTGGGCCATAGAAGGCCATCTAGCATCTGCCTTCATCGTCAGCCACTCTGGGCCCCCGTGTGACAACCCTCTTCCACCTGAAGTGGCCATGCTGGAAGGAAGCCCAAGCGTCACAGAGAAGCCACATGTCAGAGCTTAGTCCTAGATGAGTTCAGTCTTCGAGTCATCCCAGATAAGGGATTAAAGAAGCCTCCTCGGCTGTTGGAGTCCTCCTTGGTGTGATCCCAAACCCCATGGCGCGGACAAGCTTTGCTCTCAAGGCTCGTCCAATTTCCTGACCCCAGAATCCAAACAGCATAATAAAATGGATGTTGTTTTACAGCCGATGCCATCGACAGCCGTCCGTGGAGCACTGGGTGGAGTGTGGTCTGCAGTGGGGAGTATGATAGCATAGCTGGAGCTTAACGTCTTGGAGTTCAGGACAAGGAAAGAGGTCCTTATGAGAGACTGTAGGATTTAGTTCTTTGTGTAGACTGT